TAGATGGAGTTGTTTACCTAATTCCCATTTCAGGTTGTTCATTGGTAATGTACAGAAATGCAGCTGATTTTAGTGTGTTGATTTTGATTCCTCCAACTTTGCTGAATTTGCTTATTTGTTCTAACAGATTAAAAAAACTCCTTAGGAATTCCTTACATGTAAGATCGTGTCATCTGCAAACAAGATAATTCATTCCTTCATTCTCAATTTGGATGCCTTTTCTTTCTTTTTCTTGCATAATTGCTCTGGCTGGGACTTCTAGTACTGAGTTGAATAGGATGGCCAGAGTGGCCATCCTTGTCTTCATCCTGTGTTTAGAGGAAAAGCTTTCAGTCTTCCACTATTTTATGTGACGTTAGCTGTGATTTTTTTTCATGCATGGCCTTTGTTATGTTGAGATGGTTTCCTTCTCTTCCTAGTTATTAAGTGTTTTTTTATCATGAAAGACTGTTGAATCTTGTTAAATACATTTTCTTCATCAATTAATATGAACATATGGTCGATTTCTACCTGATTTTTAATTGGTTGAAGTTTATACGTTGAACTATTCTTGCATTCCAGAAATCCCACTTTGTTGTGATGCATAATCTTTTCAATGTGCTGTTGAATTCAGTTTGCTAGTGTTTTATTGAGGCTTTTTGTATCCATATTCATCAAGGCTGTTGGTCTTTAGTTTTCTTCTAGTGTTTTCCTGGCTCTAGAATCAGGGTAAGTTTGGCTCATTTATCGTATTTTTCAGTTCCACAATTTCTTTTTCAGTTTCTATCTGTTGATATTTTCATTTTGTGCATGCATTTCCTGATTTTGTTCAGTTGTCTTATTTGTCTTCTCTTTTAGCTCACCGAATACCTTTAAGAAATTGTTTTGAATTCTTCATTAAGAAATTCAGCAATCTGCTTTTCTTTTAGGGTCCATTCTGGAGTTTTACTTTGTTCCTTTGATTGGGCCATGTTTCCTTGTTTCTTTGTCTGCTTTGTGATCTGTTGTTGAGATTTGGCCATTTGAAAAAAAAACTGTCTCCTTACCTGGTCTTTATGGACCAGGTTTGTTCAGAGGAATATCTTCACCAGCCACCCCACTGGAAGTTTGGGACCTCTCCATCCTTTTGTAGTGAGGACTCTTCTCTAGACCTGTGTGTGTGCTTTTAAGTGTCTCCATTTCCATACGCTGCCTGTCCGTCCTTCTTCTCAAGAGCTTGTCGTTTCTTGCTCTCCCT